CTCTTTATGCATGTTGTCTTACTCCAAGCTGTATAGGCCCGAAAGCCTACTACCAATTAAGCATATTAGGTGATGTGCATCTCTGTAATGAGAAGGGGCGTGGTCTAATGACATCAACACTCTATATCAGGTGTGCATAATTATTAGGCAACTTCCTTTCCTTTGGCAAAATGGGTCAAAAGAAGGACTTGACAGGCTCAGAAAAGTCAAAAATAGTGAGATATCTTGCAGAGGGATGCAACACTCTTAAAATTGCAAAGCTTCTGAAGCGTGATCATCGAACAATCAAGCGTTTCATTCAAAATAGTCAACAGGGTCGCAAGAAGCGTGTGGAAAACCCAAGGCACAAAATAACTGCCCATGAACTGAGAAAAGTCAAGCGTGCAGCTGCCACGATGCCACTTGCCACCAGTTTGGCCATATTTCAGAGCTGCAACATCACTGGAGTGCCCAAAAGCACAAAGTGTGCAAAACCTGTGCACGCGCTGAAAGCATCTAATCCACCACTGAACAAGACACAAGCTGAAACGCCAAGACTGGGCCAAGAAATATCTCAAGACTGATTTTTCTAAGTTTTATGGACTGATGAAATGAGAGTGAGTCTTGATGGGCCAGATGGATGGGCCCGTGGCTGGATTGGTAAAGGGCAGAGAGCTCCAGTCCGATTCAGACGCCAGCAAGGTGGAGGTGGAGTACTGGTTTGGGCTGGTATCATCAAAGATGAGCTTGTGGGGCCTTTTCGGTTTGAGGATGGAGTCAAGCTCAACTCCCAGTCCTACTGCCAGTTCCTGGAAGACACCTTCTTCAAGCAGTGGTACAAGAAGAAGTCTACATCCTTCAAGAAAACATGATTTTCATGCAGGACAATGCTCCATCACACGCGTCCAAGTACTCCACAGCGTGGCTGGCAAGAAAGGGTATAAAAGAAGAAAATCTAATGACATGGCCTCCTTGTTCACCTGATTCGAACCCCATTGAGAACCCGTGGTCCATCATCAGAGATTTTACAAGTGAGTGGAAAACAGCCAATCTCTGAACAGTGTCTGAGGTATTGCTAAGCACGCAATGTTGATGGTGAACAGATCAAAACACCGACAGAATCCATGGATGGCAGGCTTCTTTTGAGTGTCCCTTGCAAAATATGTTGGGTGGCTATATTGGTCACTGATTTGTTTTTGTTTTGTTTTTGAATGTCAGAAATGTATATTTGTGAATGTTGAGATGTTATATTGGTTTCAATGGTAATAATAAATAATTGAAATGGGTATATATTTGTTTTTTGTTAAGTTGCCTAATAATTATGCACAGTAATAGTCACCTGCACACACAGATATCCCCCAACATAGCTAAAACTAAAAACAAACTAAAAACTACTTCCAAAAATATTCAGCTTTGATATTAATGAGTTTTTTGGGTTCATTGAGAACATGGTTGTTGTTCAATAATAAAATGAATCCTCAAAAATACAACTTGCCTAATACTCCCACTCCCAAAACCCAAAGGTGATATATACAAATAGAGGGTGGTTGGGAACAATACAACCTGAATATGGCTGAAAATGAACGTGGAATCTATAAAATAGCAAAATACAAAATATAGTGAAGTAAGTTAGGCAAAATTGGATTTGCACGTGGTAGAAAACTTACAAGAAGGGAGTAGTAATCACGCCTGTCACCCTGTCAGGGGTACTTTCCACATTGAAGGTCGAATATATATGGCGAGGACTGACAATATCACTTTTTCTTCAGCTCAGGAATAAAATATCCCTTTTTCCTTCAGCTCAGGAACAAAAGAAAATATATAGATAGTGCAGATTGTATAAAAATAACAAGATTTATTCCAAATATTGCACTTACAAGAAATCAGAAGTTAGACAGCATATCTCCATAATGAAGTAATGGCCGGGTCTCTAGATGAAAGTAGAGAGAGATCCCAAAATGGAGGTACACAAAATTAAAAAATTAAAAATAAAATAAAATAAATAAAAATAACAAATGGACTATAATAACAGCTATATATTAGCATAAAAAGTCCAAAAGTAGTATCCAACGCGTTTCGTCACTGTGGTGACTTCCTCAGGGAAATAGATGTGTTGTAATCTTCATGGTTTATATATCATGCCAATTTTCAAATTCGCGGGGAAATTCACATGTTACTTCCGGTTTTCGGCCATTAGACTTCCTGCGTTCCACCTTGGAACGCATAGCGTCATTTCCGGTTTCTGGTCTCATCCAATCAAGAGGGCTTCTTGCGTTCCACCTTGGAAAGCATGACATCACTTCCGGTTTCGGATCTAATCCGATCGAGGGGAGCCCTCCTCTGCTAGCACTTATAGAAGTGCAGCAGAAAAGGCTTCCCCTCTGGGGCAACAATCAGTTCCCATTATACAAATATGGGACAAAGAAAGAAGTCAAAGGACCCTATATGCCATGAGAATGATAAAGCATTAAAAATCTGCATAGGATAAAAAAGAATAACTATAAAGGACTAAATGGATGTAATATAATATGAACCAGTAAAAAATAAGACATGACATGTAAGACATTATAAAAAAAGGAGTAATAGTACAATATATATTCTGTGATATCAGAATGCATGATTGTTATATACATGAAACCCCAAAAGGGTACAAATTTGGAAAAACAAATGTATAATACCATTCTAGCCCAATCCAATGTACAATGGGAGCAACATGTACAAATATTAATACTAACTGGACATAAATCAAAGATAGTATATATATATATAGCCTACAATATATATATATATATATATATATATTTTTTTTTTTTTTCAGCATAATATAGCATTCTCAAATACAGTAAATAAATAAATACAATTAGACAATATACAAATATAAAGTGTAATGAGTTCAGCATCCATCTATAAGATAGAGATAAGGATTAATATCCATATAATACAATATATCCAGATGTGAAACTTATATAGGTAAATATAGATAAATTTCAAGCTACTATCAATAAGACCAGGATATAGAAAAGAGAAAAATAAATTTTGGAAGAAGGATAATTATTGAATTAATTTGTATATCATTAAATTAGACCAGTTAAATCAATATCTTGATTTAAACCGGTTTTAAGTGTTCTTAAATTGTATATCCATTCTGCTTCTTTTTTAATTAGCTCTTGCATTCTGTTAACTCCCCTCCAGTGTCCATCTATCCTATCGATTCCAAAGGCACGAAAAGTGGACCATTCAAAAGAACTACATGTGTTACAGTGTCTAGGTACACTGTGATCATTTTTTTTGTTTCTTATATTAAGGAAATGTTCTCTGAACCTAATATGTAGTTGACGGGTAGTCCTACCTATATATTGTGCCCCACATCCACATTGGAGCAGATATATGGCATATGTAGTGGTACAATATAAAACATTTTTAATTTGATATGTTTTTTGGGTGTATGTGCCTTTGAAATCGACAATCTTTTTGTCTAAGTTTATACATGTGGAACACTTTCCACATTTATGGAAACCTGGAGTTTTTGATGATTCCAAAAAATGTTTCTTTGGTTTATTAGTATATAAAAGGCTGGGGGCCAGTTGATATTTTAAGTTATCGGCTTTCTTATATATGACCAGGGGTTTGTTTGGTAAAACCTGGCCTAGCACTTCATCCTGTTTAAGGATTGCCCAATGTTTTTTTTAAATATTTTCGATCTTTTTTGCATGTGTGTTGTATTTTGTTGTGAATTCAAATTCAAACTTTCCTTTATTGTGATTCCCTTTTTGTCTATCTATTAGAAATTCAGATCGATTCTTTGTTTTGATATTCTGTATCTCCAGATCAATTTGTTACTTATTATATCCCTTCTCCTCATATCTGTTTTGTATGATTCGAGATTGCTCTTCAAAAGAATGTGTAGTAGAGCAATTTCTTCTCATACGGATTATTTGTCCCTTGGGGATATTATCCAACTATACTGGGTGGTGTAAACTATTGTTTTTAATTGCAGTATGGCAGTCGTTTTTTTTTAAAAATGTTCTTAATGTGTTTTCCTCGATATGTATAGTCAAGTCTAGAAAGTCTATTGATTCGTGATGTATTGAAGAAGTAAATTTTAGATTATAATCATTTTGATTGATGTCCTCAATAAAATCCGTAAGGCTGGTGTGATTGCCTTCCCAAATAATAAGCACATCATCTATGTAGCGTCGCCATAGAACAAGGTTCCCCCTAAGGTGGGATCTCAAGGTGACATGTTGCGACTCCCAAGGGGCCACATAAAGGTTGGCAAAACTTGGGGCGAACCTCTTCCCTATGGCGACACCACATAGCTGTAAAAAGAAGAAAATGTGGTCAGTGCAAATGGATTTGTCTGGAAAAAAAATTGTTTCAGGCAATTTGGCATTTGTCGGGTTTCGGTCTGGGCAAATTTCATCCATGTGATTTGCAAAAACTATTTATTTAAGCCAAATGGGCTTGAAAATTGCCCGATCAGTGTGCTGCAAAATATAAATATTCTGCATATATGGTTTACAGATAGAATGTGTAAAAATATATAATTTATAAATAAAGGTTTGTTTTACTGCTCCTCCTTTTTCCCTCTATTGGTCACTAATCACATGATCTGTTAATAAAATCAACATTTAGTGGTTGTCCTCAATCTATTAATCATTATGTTTTTTTGGTGCATTGGACCAAAAGATCAAAAATTAAAAACAAAAACAACAGTTTCACGCATTATCCATTTTGTTTGTTTTGTGATTCATCCATATACCATTTTGGAGTTTGGGATTTCATAAGAACTCAAAATTT